GAGGGCCTCTTCTGGCCGCATCCAGGGCCGCCTTCGCCCGGCCCCTCAGGAGGGTCTTCAGCGCTGCCAACTTACCCCGGTCGGTCTCCAGCCCGGCAGCCTCCGCAATTTCCTCAAAGTCCTCCAGGAAGGTCCGAACATCCCCATCCTCAAAGGGTTGCGGCCACGGGATCTTCATCCTTATCCTGGTCACGGCACCAAATGAAAGGAAGGCCTTCGCTGCGGAGTTATTTATTCGAAGATGCCAACTGACCGGTTACAGACCATTGAACAGGGAAGCAAAACTCTAAACTGGACACAGATCTCCCAAACGAGTCTTCCTAGAGATTCGTTGCCTCCACTCATTCGTCGGTCAAATCCAAGCAAATGTTGCAAAGTGGCCCCACGAATTCCGCAACAGAATTCCCTTTTTCAGTCGACGCAAAGCGAAATTCTACGAACAACACATACTACTCGCGTGCCTCCCGATCAGTGGTATCACCGTTACACCAGGACGCCCATGGAGAGAAAGAAAGACAATTACGATCCTCGACCTGTCTTTAGCTCAAATGCCTGACCACGAGGCGGTGGTGTTTAACGGGAAATGCACAGCTGACCAGCACCAGGACGCCCATGTCTAGAGAGAAAGACAATTACGATCCTCGACCTGTCTTTAGCTCAAATGCCTGACCACGAGGCGGTGGTGTTTAACGGGAAATGCACTTAAAGCTGACCAGCTTAACCAGATGGGTGAACCGATAACTGTTTCCCGTTGCTCATGCGACTGCTACATTCCTCACCCAAAGTTTCCACTAGTTATGCCTGTCGAACCGCAAGCGGATGGGCTGTTGACGGTTAAGATCTTGATGCCCTTGGTTGGGAGTGTGATCGACCGAGCTCGTCAGAGATATACTAACTAAAAGAATTGGCTAATATCTAAGGTTTATTTTTTCGGGGAACGCTAATAGCACAGACGTATATCGATTGCCTGGTATCCACTGTGAACTGTTGAACACGCTGTAAGAGATGACTGCTAATCGATGTCAATGGCGTTCTTCTCGTTAGTTCCTATCCAGATTGACCGAATGAGTTTGGAAGTATATGCATCCCGGAATGATTGTTGTAGGCTAGTTCGAAGTCCCTTCCGCATGAATTTTTATCCTTTTCTTTAAAATAAAGCTTTCAAATAAATTGTGGTTGTGCACTGCTGACCATGGCCCCTAGTCTTGTCTTCTCCGGGAGTAAATCCGTTTCCTAGTGAATTATAACTTACAACTTATTCATCTGGATTGTGGAACAAGTATTCTGATATAACTGATGCATGAATACATGGGTGTCAGTGACTTTTCATCGGGGAGAACGGCAGGGGAATATATTCGTTGAAGACAGCCGTTTGAATGCATGCGTGCCGTTTATCGAAAGATTGGGTCGTCTGACAACATAAATACAGTACCCGAGAGTTTGAATGTGCGGTCAAAGCAACCCCTTCTAGACAGAAAGTCGGTTTCAATTCTCACATCAATGCATTGTGGGCCATTACAAGGTGACGAAGGACAAGCGACACCGAGAATATCGTTACGAATGAAGTGAAGTTGATACCTCTGTTATTTCCGTACTCGGTGCACCACTAGTACTTATTCTCCCCAACTGTCTCGGAGAGCCTGCTTTACCAACAGGCCAGACGAGCGCTCACTGGAAAACTGAACAGTGCGGGTCAGACCATTGTATTGGGAACACGGAGTTGCAGGAGACCTACAGAATGCCCGAACCCATTAATTCAGCGGAACAAGTCGGAATTAAAACGATAGATAAGTAAAGTTGACGACAAATACCAATCAGTAAGAAAATCCAGTTACTTACGACTTGGCACTGCACTCCAGAAACATCAGGTCGTTTTCGTCAGCCAGTTGTTTCGCCTCTTCGTAACTAACGTCACGTTGCTCCTCTAGGTCGGCCTTGTTGCCTATTAGGAAAACTACTGTGTTGTGACAGGTAAGTCGTCGGGCATCCGAAAGCCAGGTGTGTATCCGATTAAATGTGGATTTTCGGGTTATGTCATACACCAGTAGCGCGCCAGCAGCACCCCGATAATATGACCGGGTAACCGCACGAAAACGCTCCTGACCTGCAGTATCCCATATCTGCAACTTAATCTTTTGATCATCAAGTTCGATTATTTTGGTAGCGAATTCCACGCCAATGGTATGTGGACAATCCGGGATAACTTTAAAAATACCCTGTGAAGAATGTGGAAAAGCTTACATTTCTTCTCCGTGAATTGGTGCATAAGACAACTTTTCCCGACACCCATGTCTCCGACAATAATGTATTTGAAGATGTACGAATAATTATATCCACCTCCTAAAGACATGGTGAAACACGCAGATACGACGGCGAGGAGCAACGGGACACAGCAACTAAGGTCCGCTTGAGCGGCCGGACGAATGAAAATGTCTTTAGTTCGTTTATCAATGGCTTCGGCTGTTCCAAGGATTCAGGGAGTTTCAGGGTTTCCAGCTAATCCAAAAGGAGGTAGCCTCGACCGAAACTCACGCCTCATAGAGCAAGAAATTTGGATGTCTTATAAACTTGGCGGCCTAATTCGTCTGCAGGGAGGAAATAGGTGCAATGTGGCCCGTGTAACGATGGGTGATAAGCCGAAGAGTTTATACCCTCTCCATTGGTTTCATCCGTCGCCATCATTATTCTATTTTGCCTCCTTTTCTTAATATTTTTCTATTTTGATGTTTCAAAGACAGAGTAATGTGAAGCATGAGTGTGTGGTGGAGTTGTGATGGTTTAAAAATCATCTATGTTTCTTGGGCATCAGGATTTTTGGCTTGTCAGTCACCCACTGTCCATTTGAATATATGCCAGTATAACCAAGGCTTTTATATCTTTTGCTCTACACCGTATCGCTTTTTTCCTGAGACTTATATCCGTGGTAAGACTTACATGACACTGCAGAAAGTTAAACGCTCTGGGCGTCAACCATCACAGTAATGGGAGCTAGACTGGTAGTCTGTAAATCCAACACATTTGAAACAGTCTATTCCATGCTTGCGGAAATCCAAAGAAAACGGATTTTCGCACACAGCAGATGTTTGAATACAGCTACTAAAAACCAAAAGAAACTAATAAACGACGTTGGAAAATAAACTGAAATGGCAACCGCCCCCAAAAAACTTCTTTCAGCAGACAGATTAAAGTTCATGAACACTTTGTGTAGACTGTCGCATGTTCGATTTCCATCCGCTGCCATTGTACGCAAACACTATTCATCGTACCACAAATCAGCTCGGGAAAATCTCCTCTGTATTCATGGAAACATTTTGGGGGAAATGTGGTGATGTTTTATTCGTGGCTCCTTCAGAGATTCAATCTCGTTGTACTTCACTACAAAACGAAGGCTTCCTCCCTCTCTATCTCCGATATATTATTCTTCCGTACGATGTTCTTGACCTCTCATTCCCCCGTGAAACAAGCCCTACCCGCATTCGAGACTGAACCCTAAACATCTTGCAAAACATTATTGGGTATAAATGCCCCCTGGAATTCTCAGGAAACCAGTAACCAGCGCCTCTAACCTCACCCCATTCAACACCATCGTGTCGCGCCATAGCACTTAAAAATACTGATCGCATGCCCTATGTTGTGTTGAATAAAAGTAGACTGCGAAGATGTACACCTGCCAGGTTCCTATCGGTCGGTAAATATCCCAGAATCTTTAGCGGTGAGAGCAGTGTATTATATAAATACAGTCCGAATATCCGGCCTACGACCGTCCCAAAAGTAGTGGAGGCCTGGAACCCTGAGTTTCAATTGACAAAAGACACTATTGTTGCTAACACAATATATCAATGGAAATCCAGCTGATGTAAATGACCGAAATGTGACTAGTTGTCCACGATGCCTAATCAACTGACCAGATGTTACCCACGTCGGTCATAGCGGACAGCTGAACAAACCTAGCTCACATGCACGATTAACACGTGCCTGTACATCTCGACCAGGGAAAGTCAATAGTCTAGCTTAGACGAGATTAAAGTTGACTTTTATTGGGCGTTTGGATCAGCATGTGTCTCGTTGGAAATGGGAGGTTCTTTTGGTGCCCAATGTTTAGCGAGCTACTGACGTTTTTGAATGGGAGAAAGATATTTTAGTTTAGAAAAACATCACTACGGGACATATAGCTGGTAAACTGGAAGAAAAACTTGCCCTATAAATTGAGCACACCAGTGGCGACAGTTTCAGAATAGTAATTACGTGGATACATCTTCACCGGCTGTGTTGTATTGCGTTATTTCTAGTAGCCAAT